TCAAGAATAAGAAAATGCAACTTATGTAACTCAGTTCAAAGACGATTACATTAGTCAAAAAGATTTTGAATTATTTTCCATTCATCAATATTGTAACATTAAAATATCAAAATTCGAAAACAAAATATTGGGAAATTGCCACGTTTTTTTAGTATGAAACAGTATGAAATTTATTTTTATATACAAAGAGAACTTGAATCATCCATGTTGTCCTATGACCTTTTTTCATCATAATTAGTAAAAATTTTACCATTCAAGAGTTTTGCAAAATTCGAAATAAGTGGTAATTTAAGGGCAATATTACTTTCCAACCAATAATTTTCCACTACATACCTAATATGTGTGAAGATTTACATTGATTTGGTGCAACATAATTTTCCAATTCTGACTAATTTTCTTTGATTGCTTTCTCCAGTTACATTAATTGTTGACAGGAAACATCTGAATTGATCGTTTGGTTCCTTGGATGCAGCTGAAAATACGCAACACCTTTGTAATTCCGCCAAATTGATATCATGATCTTTTTTCATGGAATTTAGCTTTCGATATGGTTTGTGCGCTTAGATCATGATTGTTTTCGATTGATATTATTGTACACAATTCATTTTTTTTATCAGAAGTGATGATTCCTTTAATAAAGTGACTATTTTATTGTGTTTGAGATGGATATTACAAATATTGATTCCTTGTGTTAAGTGAATCTTTGAATTCTTACGAATATTGAGATTCTTGACGAGTCCAAGACATTCAGTTGTTATGTGTGATATATTTAAGCCCTTTGCAATCTCTTACATTAGATGATCCGATTCAATTATGACTTTAATTTGATCCTCATAAACTACTCAATGACTCATAGTTTGAATGCACATCCTTGTTAGTCTGAAGTTTATAGGCTCTAAATAAATAATAACGTATAGTAACAAACAATATTAATTATGTACATATAAATTGAAAGGCGACAAGAAAACATTCCTATTTATAGCTTTAATTAGTTAATTCATGAAATTAATTATTACATACGTGAATTACACATCTTTTCAAATAATTGTGATTGTTTTTAAATTTCTTAGAAATAACATAATTACATAATGTCAAGTAATTAAAAGTGAATATTTAATAACCAGAGTAACTTAATTTTAAATGAAGTTTTTTTATATTTATTTATGAAATTAAAATTAATAAAAAAAACAACAGTAGTGTTGATTAATACCTGAGGACGGTTAAAAATGTTAATGATTTATAGTTTGAATGCATCACGTTGTTAGCCTGAAGTTTTATAGGTGCTAAATAAATAACAAGCAATGATTATTATGTAAATTACAAGGCGACGAGGAAACCTTTTTTTATAGCAGTTATGAACCAAAGTCCTTCTCACTATAACAAAAAAAGATAGAAATATTAGAAATATTTTAAATACAGTAACTTCATGGTACATTCTTTTTTTTTATTGTAATAAAGAAACGATAATTGTGGTCAATGCGTCTTCTTCCATTCATCGATTGAAATGGCGTGATTTGCTTGAAAAGTTTCCACGCGATTCGATTGAGTAACTGCGGTCTCTCTTGCCCATGTAACATTTCAAAGAAGAAGAAAAAAAAGCGTGTGATAGATGCAGAAGAAAAGTGTGCTGGAAAACTTTACATTTTCTTATGTTTATTTGGTACGATTTAGAAACACGTCACGTTTCATTTTCGTTTTGTTATTTATTTGTTTGCGTTTTCCAACGAGTTTGTGCGAATTAAAGCGGATTAATATGTACTTAGATGTTTTGCAATTGAATTATAAATTGTTAAACGGATCGTGTAAGGAAATGGGAATGTGGTGAGTTTTCGATGGAAACACGTAATAAGTAGTAAGATCTGGATCATGGAATTGCTTTGAGCTAATCTTCGCTTTAGTTTTTCTTAAGTAATATCATAATCAAAGCAGATACCAAGTCCATGTTAATATTTTATAAATCTATCGAAAAAAATTGCCTTTGTATTTTACCTATTAATACATGTTTAAGATAATATCTTTTATTTTTTCTTACAATCATTTTTTCAGTGAATTATTTTTGTTATTCATCAAAACATATTTTTGTAGATTCATTCAAAAATAGTTTAAAGTTAAGCACGAAAAATTGGTGAATGAGTGATTACTTTAGTGAATTATAACATTGGAAATGTTTTGTTTCTCTTTACATCATTTGATTTTGTTTGTTAGTTGAATTTCATTAAGTTGTTATTTCTATTTTATAACATATTTTTAATTATTTAGCTTTGTAAAGGTGATATAGAAGTTAAATACGTCAATACATTTGATTTTGTTGTTTTTGAAGAAATGTGTTTTCTTTTTAGTTGATTTATTCTTTCTATGTCTGCTTCTTATTTGAATTTATGTATATTTATTGCGTTTATAAAGTGGAGCAATATTTGCTGGACTTGGCCGACGACAGTTAAAAAAAACTAAAGGGTATTATTAAATTATTTTTTCCTCGTCTGTATTGTACATTCATTTAAGGACGTATTATAAGGATATGAATATATGTATGCTCTATACACGTTACACGAACTAATGTAAGAATTGTAAAGGGAATTTATGTAAGAGGTCAGACTTTGGTTTTGTGCATTGAAGTATTTGTAAGTCAGAAGAAAGGAAAAGAATATACATTTAATATTAGAATAATAAAATAAATTGTTTATATTGATATTGTTTTAAATAATAAGAAGTGCAAATAAGAGACTTTTGGTCTTACACAAAAATATTTTAATGCAACAATAAATATAAACAAAATTAAACATTTTCATACATTAATTATAAAACAATCTCTTTCACCGTATTTAAGATATTTTTATATAAATGTAATCGAATATTTCAATATATTTTTTTTAGGATCTGTAGAAACTTCTTTACATTATTTTGTTGTTTAATATTTTATTCTGATTTAAAAAAAAAATGAAGAATTTGTTGTATAGAAATTTAATTAATTATATTTTCTGCGTCATTTTCAGAGAAATTTCTTCGTAGATAAATGAGATTTTAACATTAAATATATATAAAGTTTGTAGGATATTTAATCATCACTTTAATCTATTATACTCTATATTCTCATAACAAAGTAAAGTTTATTTTATACTATTATTAGCGTGCACTTCATTTTATTAGACATACAATTAATATTAACTAACATCTATGAATCATACCTTTCTAATGTATTTTTTTTTTATAAAGAAATAATTCATAAATTGAGAACTTTTAAATACTTAAAAAATGAGATGATTTATTTTTATTAAGATATTTACTTTCATTTTATTCATATTTCGATTATATTTGAAAATAAAAGAAATACAATGCAATTAATTTCAAATTGTGCCTACTTTTTACCAGTACCATCAAACATACTCTGAATTCACTATAACCCAGTTTAGAAATTATGTTATAACATTTTTTCCATCGTTTTGAAAATTACAAAAGTAGCGTCACTAAAACTACTGTAATTTGTGAACTGATCTTCAGATTGCTATAAAAAAAATTGACAGGCGTCTAAAGGTTGGTACTTCCTAAAAAATATATGGAATTGTAGATAGAGGCGCCATCTGTATGTCATCCAATGAACTTATTGAGTATTGTGTTAAAATTTTAATTAAACATAATAATGAAATAAAGGCAGAAAGATCTATGGACAATAGCTCTTTGTATCAGATCAATTTGTTTTTTATTTTCTTGTTGTATTATGTTATTTTTTTTTGAGTATGTAGTATGATTTGTTACAATAAATGTTATTGTTATTATTAATAATTTATTAATAAAAAAATAATTATTTGTTTTTACTGTTCTCGATTAGTCCGGCTTCTAATAGTCCGGGATATTGGCGGAATCGATTATCAGGAATGAGAAAAGTATTACTGTATTGTTATTATATAAGTTTCGATTGTTAGATTTGATAAGTTATAGTAAAATTATATTAATTTATCTTCCTTCATCGAATATATATAAATTTAACAACTCACTTGTTGTTTATACAAATGTAATAAATATATAGAAATCAAACATAACATATCTTATTTTTTTTATGTTTTCATAAATTTGTAACAATATGCTTTATTTTACGTATCTATCCATATAAGGTTTGCTGTTTGCCACAACAGTTGATTCATATTGATAATGCGTTTTCAAAACCACAGAATGAGATTTTTCAATAATCTATTACATTTTATTACATTCTTATCGAATACGCAAATGTTTTATGCATTGTATTAAAACTTATCTAATATTGAAAAATGTTATGGTTGCAATGTTCTCATTATTATTCTATTTTATGTGTTTGCATTTTTTGTTGTAAACGATTTTATCCATGAAATACTGCAATCATCATTGTACATTAAAAAAAAATGGTTTCGGTTTACGAACAATTCAGTTTTCGAACAATCTTCAACTGTTCCTCAAAATTAAACAATATTAAATCATTTTATAGTATCTGTACTAATGACGTTGTTTTATTTAATTATAGATTAATGGATATTATTGCTTGTACAAAAAAAATACTCGATTTAGTTAGATAATTAACTTTAAAATAATTAATAGTTCATTATAATGAAATATGTTAATTTTGGATAAAATGCAAATCCCGAATTAGTAAAACATATTACCGCCTCGTAATCCTGTAAATCCGATCAGTATAAATTATTGAAGTCAATTTAACAAAATATGAATTATCTATTAATGTACAATTTAGTTTGCATGATTTAGGGATAATGTGTTTTGAACATATAGTCCAATTATGCAGATGGGACAGGAAAACAAGGTATTTATTTCTGGAGATGGACTACTTTGAGACTTAGCCATTGATCTGTAAAGCCCATTTTAATGAATCATTAGTAGAAGCAATTGATCCTTGAAGATGAATACCGATGTTTGTTACATCTCCTTTTTTTCAGTTTAGGAATTTGGAGTTGGTCGCGTGCCCACACGCAGGACGTGGAGCGGCGCTCCGACGAGTGCGTTTCCACCAGTTGCTGCCCGGCTTCCGTCGTGATCAGTTCGAGGCAACCATCCTCGAAAGGCCTGAGAAAGCGAGAGATAGAGAAACGCGCGTGTTTGTGCCCTTGATCCGCGTGTTCCTTACCGAATATACAAAGCACCAGAATTCCAACAACAAGATCAAATTTGGAATTCGAGGATCTTGGATCAGCCCGGAAGGGCAGAGCTGCTGCAGCCATGCCAGGTACAATTATTATTACACCGTATTAAGGACTAACCTTTATATAAATTGATAAATGAATCCTTGAAAATGAAATTTTCATTATCCAATTCATCCAGACATAAAAAAAAATCCTTATTAATTTCGCATTTGTACTTACATCAAGTGGCAACTGATATTTACATATACAATAACATCATTAAAACCTTGTTATGCAAAATAACAAAAGCAACGTATTTTTTTTTTATTATTTTCGCACGCTTTATGTTCTATATACTAAAGAATATATATATAGTATACTTTATAGTAAATATTCATGTTTCACATTTGGCGCACGCAAACGACAAAAATATTATCCAATTTTAGATCTCCTCCGAGCGTAAATATTTATTGTGTTCTTTGAGTAGAAAATTTCGGTTGGATGGAATTCGCGTGGCGATGGGGCGCAATTAAATCTTGCTTTATGAAGTAGATTGCAGACCCTACGTATCACATATTCGTTTTTCTTACGTGTTTTACGTTTGCTCGTTTTAATCACTTTTGCCCATACACAATATCGATTCCAATTTCCCCATTGCCAATTCACTTTTCCCCTATTCGAAACAAATACACTCCGATTGGAATGCATTAGAAAAGGATGCTCTCGAGGACGTTCTCCATTGATACTGCAAACCCGTGCCAATCAGGATTTTAATCATACCCCCCCTGAAACCTACCTAAATTTAGCTAAATAATTGTCAATCAATGCTAATTGAGATTGGTTTAGTTTGAGTCAATCTTACTTAATTAGTTTTAGTATATTTATGTTTTATTGGAAATCCAAATTTGCATTTTAATCAAATTAAAAATTCTAGATATGACTAATAATTTCATGGACATTTGTCTCTTTGATAATTCAAAATTTCTTTTGAATCTTAATTGTTCAATGATTTTTTTCATGTAAATCATAAATTGATACTTTTTAATATCATTGATGAATTACTTTATAGAATTATGTTGAAATCTGAATTTGATTTGTTTCTTTTTATCATATTTTATAAACCAATATTTTTAAATTTTTATTCATAGAAGTATCAAATATTTATATTATGAAAATTATTTCTATTAATTAGTTTAAATTATAGATTAACATGTAAAATTGTTAATAAAATAAATATTTGTTAACATGAAGATAACTGTTAAAAGTATAATTTTTGCTTATTCATTTTTAACTATCACTAATTTCCTCACTCAATGAAATTCGTCATTCTGCACTCATTTATTGAATAGGTCATAAATTAATGAAATTGCACTTCTCTTAATTTAACATCACGAAAACACAAATTCTTTATCATACTGTTATGATAATATTATCATGAAAATATATGCAACGTGATTATGTCTATTTTTCTTTTATTCGGGTTAAAATTTGATAAGATTAATTGCAATGTTATATAAATACATGTAATTTTACTTAACAGACTTTCTCAAAATTATTGCAAAAAAAAAATTGTTAAATTGTAAAACTTGTGTGATGATTATAATGATATAAACATGAAAACTTTCCTTTTGTTTTAGTATTCTGCTATTACTATGCAAGAATTTAAGTTAACATTCAGATAATAGTTAATATTAGAATTGCGACAGATTTATGAACATCTTCTTATAACGTATCTTTTTTTTTCGATCATTCATTTCCTTTGTTATTATCCGATTGACGAATGAATGGTTTTATTAATAACCCAAACTTGAGAAACGCTCAGACGTTTTTTTATATATTCTTTTCTTTCCTGTTGGTCGCAGTAGAGTTCGTACAATTTAATAGCGAAGAAAAATCTGTTGGCTCAGAGCCAGGCACCTGTTGGTTGGAAATTATTCTGGGAAAGAGTTTTGCTGAGGCCGTCGCCGTCCGAAATCCGAAAAGGATACCCAAATTTCGATAAACTTTTCATTTTACATTAATTTCTGCGCTCGTCCTTCCCCATAAATTTGCTTGATTGATGTTATGACATCGCACATCGTTCCGCTCTTCGCCACTTTAAAACATCAAACAAACCAATGACGCAACTGCCGATATTGGGAAATCTCGAAAGTACTCATTAAAATAACGAGTGTTGCTAATAGTAATTAATATATATATATATATATTTAAAAATATGCATTAACTAATTTTGTATGAAGCAAACATTCGATATGTTTATTTTCAACAGGTTATTTGTAGAATTGCAATCAGTTTTGATTAGTTTATTTTCATAAAGCCAATCTTACAGGAAGCTGATAATTTTTTACTGAATTCATATTGTGTAGTTCTTGTAATTTATGTGTCGTTATTAAGTCTGTCAGAAATGTATTTATATAGTTTTTTTTTGACAGAAATAAAACATTCGTTAAAGTAATAATATTTCTTAATGAATTCACTTTTCTTAATCCATTTAATTTTTAATATCCATAATTGTATTATTCATATGTTTTAAAAGAAGGAACAAGTTGCGCGAGTTATTGGAAAAAATCGAAATGGTGGATTAAAGATGACGGCTTATTTATTTATAACACTTCTTACACACTTAGATCTCTACTCAACTAATACTTATCGAATAATAATCTTCCCCTTAGCTTAGCTACCCCGAGCTATTTACAGCGTTGCCACCGTTTCAATCGTGGTTGCGCTTAAACTTCATAAATCGTAAAGAATATTTTGTAATGTGTTAGTTGATGAACGTTTAGATTAAATTTTCAGAGATTAAATTAAGTTAATTTTCATAAAGTGCACTATTCCAATTAGAAATTACAGAAATAACGAATTTTGAAAATACCGGTTAAACAAAATCTGATTTTAACCGTTTTTTTTTTATCCTAGCGCGCTGCGTTTTGTAACATTTTTATTCGCGTGACGTTTGAAAAACTCCTTTAAAGTTATATACGTTATTAATTAATTAGATTAGATTGTGTACAATATAAAAGATATGCATGTTTATTATATAAAAATGTAAAAAAGTTTCTTTAACATCACCACTATCGTTTGTTTCTGATGGTTTGTTTTTGTCTGATTCCATTGCTAATTTTCATAAAATCTCTATATTTTTTGAATCAAAAACTTTTTTCTATACATCTATAAACGATGATTGATTTTAATTTCATTATATATGTTGTTATCACTGAAACGTACCCTTTTTCAAAAATGGTAAAGTATAATATTGGGTCAAGTAAAAAGTTCTGAGCGTTTTTCGTTAGATCTAACGGAAAATGCCATATCTCACGATGTATACGTTGCATCTTGTCATTCTATACTGCGACTTAAAGGTTTTGTGTTTACTGAATTCAGTTGTCTGTTAGAGCGTTCCAAAATGGAGGTAAATAAAGAGAAAATTCGATACATTCGAAGGAGACGTTACCAAGGAGAAGAGCAAATTTGTTGTTTATGGACCCAATACAGTATCGAATACAACAGCAAAGCGTTGGTTCCAATGCTTCTGTTATGGTAATATGATCGTCGAAGATGAGACATCTGGTGGGCCAATCGTCGAAAATGTTGATAAAATCATGGAAATCGGCATACGAGAACTTATTCCATTGTCCAGGAACTGAAGATTAGCTACAAAACCGTTTGGAACCAATTGCATAAGGCTGGTCTCAAGAAGAAGATTGATGTATGGGTGCCACACGAATTGATGCAAAAGAACCTTTTGGAGCGAATTGATTCATGCGATTCTTTACTGAAACGTAACGAAATCGATCCATTTTTGAAGCGGATGGTAACTGGCGATGAAAAATGGGTCAGATACGAGAAAAATATCGTAGTTCAACCGCTCTTAGCGGGCCAAAATAATCGCCAAGCCCGAACAAGAAGGTTTTGCTGAATGTTTGGTGAGATTGGAAGGAAACTCCACTATGAGCTGTTCCCATCAGTTCAATCACTCAATTCGGACCTATACTGTCAACAACTGACCAGATTGAAGTAGGCGCTCGACAAGAGGCGTCAAGAATAGGCCAATATATTTGTATATTTGATCTAAATCTGAAAATTCTAACTTTGTTAATTTCATCGTCAAAATAAAGAGAAAAAAGGCTCAGAACTTGTTAATTTACCTAATATTAAAAAAACCACTACTCGCGTGGAGTCCGATAGACACTGCTAAGAATATGTAAGTATGAAGAAGGTACACATTTACAGTTTTAAAAGTTATGGTTGTACCCACCTGTGTCTCACAGACGCAACGTTAAGAAGGGTTGAGAAAGAAAATATCCAAATTAAATTTACCAAAAAAACTGTTTATTTTTTAATAAGAAAAATATTATGGTCTTTTCACATATATTTTTTTTATTGGATTTTACAAGAATTTGTTTCATATTTATTTATCCAATATTTTCGATGTGTGTCACTGACCTTATTTATTTTACTCTATATATTTTTACAATTTCTCGTTTACTTTATTCACGTTATTTTTATAAAAACATTTAAAATATGAAACACATTCCTAATTTTTCACGCTGATGCGATTCAACGAATAAAAAAAATAAACAAACTAAAAAAAAACTAAACATTCCGAAATACGTTCAATTCCAATTAATTTCGAAAAGCGTATCCGCATGAAAAAACACAGTCTCGTAACTGCATTTGAAATATTGCTTTTGGTTGCTCGCAAATTTCGAAAGTTAACTGGCAACACAATTTATTTTTCGGCTACGCACGTTTGAATTCATTTGCATTGCAAACACGTAGTGAGATTATTTTTATGTTTATTTTGTACTTTTAAAGGACGAAAGGTAATAAATTTGTTAAATTAATTTAAATTGTTTTCATAGACTAATTGTTCGGAATTTTAGTCGTATATGTATGTATGTGTGTACATGAGATTTAATTTATTATGAAACTACGTGTTTCCAGTCATCTCGGTCTGCATTGTTTGTATCGTCGAATTTGCATTGGGTTGGGATTAGTTTAACTATAAATTCCTGTAAGGAGTAAGCAGTAATTTCAAATTCCGACTGCTGCTCCTGCTGCAGAGACACCAAATTAATCATACATAATCTCATGTGTAAAGTGC